TCAATGTCATTAAGAAATGTCAAGAGTAGAGTTTGTCTTTTTGGACCCAACCCCTGCATGACAAATCTCTCTGACAGTAAGTAAGGCCAGCACAAACACAAGAAGTATTCAGGGAATCCTATGCCTATACAGATGCTGAAGGAAACAAGAAAATTGCTTCATAACCAACAAGAGAGAGGGAGGGCCTTTCCCTAGAGCATGTATCCTTAACTTCTAGACTCCTAAATGCTAAGAAAATAAATGCCTGATTGTTAAAGCTACCTACTTGTGGTATCTCTGTTATAGCAGCATTGTTCTTGTTATTGTATACTGTGGAGTCAGATGCGACCCACAGCTGACCCTCTGGCGGGTTTTTAGAAGCAGTTAAACTCACGGGAGGAGAATGCCCACCCTTCTCCCACAGAGCAGCTGGAGGATTCGAACAGTGTGCCTTTGGAACTGTAGCGCAATAGACCTGGGTTCAAAAGTAGATGTTAGAATGTTAGAATTTAGAAGTAATGTGAACCTGGGCAAACTGCTTAGCAGCTCTGTCTTGGTCCTCTCATCTCACCTGCAAAGCTGAGTTAGTAACATAACCTTCTATTGCATATATTCCTTGAGGGCATGGATTTTAGCATTTAGAAGGCTCCCTTCGGGCCCTAGGGAGCTCTGGTGGTTTCTTGTTAAGTGTCACTGAGTCAAGTGTAACTCATAGCGACCCTGTGAACAACAGATCTGGACCCTGTCCTATCCCGTGCCAGACTCATCATCTTCGACATACTTGAGCCTCTTGCTTCAGTCTCTGTGTCAAGCCATCTCATTGAGGATCTTCTCTTTGCTGACCCTCTACTTTTCCATGCATGATATCCCTTTCCAAGAAAAACACCCTTCTAGTAACATGCCTAAAAATGTGAGATGTTTCATCATCCTTAACTCTAAGGAACACTCTGGTTGTACTTTTTCCAGCACCTATCTGTTCGGCTTTTTGGTAGTTGACAGGGTATTCAAAACTGTTCTCTGGGGGCAGAAGTGGGCAGGGTGAAAAGTGCAACAATAAATGAATGGAAATTGAAAGTCTCTGTAAACTTTCATTAATTAAAAAAAAACAAAACAACAAAACCCTGTTCTCTGGCATCACAACTCAAAGGAATTAGTTCTTCTTCTGTCATCCTTATTCATTGTCCAGCTCTCCGATGCACAGTAAGTGATTGAAAAGACCATGGCCTGAATCAGATGTACCTTAGTCTTCAAACTAACATCACTGCTCTTCAATAATTTGCAGAGGTCCCACACAGTGGACTTGCACAGTGCAATATGACTCCTGATCTGGTACCAAGGGTTTTTAGTGTGGATCCAAGTTAGATGAAGTTGTTGACAATTTTAATCTCTTTTCTAACTATCATGATGTTGCCTATGGGTTCAGTGGTGAGGATCTTTGTCTCCTTGATATTGAGATGCAATCAATACAGAAGCCTATATTGTTTGATCCTCTGCAATAAGTGTTTCCAGTCCTGTTTACTTTCAGCAAGCAAGGTTGTGCCACCTGTATAACGCAGGTAGTTGATGAGTCTTCCTCTGATCCTGTGCCACATTCTTCTTCATAGAATCCAGCTTTTTAAATTATTTTCTCAGTGTACAGATTTAAAGGATATGGACAAAGAATAAAATCTTGATATGCACCTTTTCTTGACTGAAAGCAAAGAGCACCAGAGGAATGTCTATCTGTGTTTCATTGACTATGAAAAGGCATTTGTTTGCATGGATCACAACAAACTGTGGCTGACTCTGAGAAGAATAGGAATCTCAGAACACTTGACTGTACCTATGCAAAACCTATACTTGGACTAGGGGACTGTCATCAGAACAGAGCATGGTTCAAAATCAGGAAGGGTGTATGTCAGGTATGAGTTCTATTTCTACACCTTTTCAATCTACTTGTGGAACAAATCATCCAGGAGGCTAGGCTCTATGAGGAGGTATGTGGCATCAGGATTGGAAAAAGACTCATCAACAACCTGTGTTATGCAAATGATACAATCTTGCTTGTTGAAACTGAGGAGGGCTTGAAGCACTTGCTGCAGAAGGTCAAGGACTGCAGCCTTCACTAGCTCAACATCAAGAACACAAAGATTCTCACCACTGGGTTGATTGGCAGCACCATGATAGGTGGTGAAAAGACTGAGATTGTTAACAGCCTCAGTTTGCTAGGCGCCACAATCAACATTCTTGGTAGCCAAGAAATCAAAAGATGAATTGCATTGGAAAAGTCTCCTGCCAGGGACCTCTCTAGAATACTGAAGAGCAACAATGTCAGTATTGAGATTTAAGGTGCAACTGACCCAGGCCATGGTCTTTGAAATTATGTGCTGTGCATCAGAAAACTGAACAATGACTAGGAATGATAGAAGGAGAATTGATGCCTTTGAACTGTGGTGCTGGAGAAGTGTTGAATATACCATGGACTGCTAGGAGAACAAACAGTTTCATCCAGGAGAGTGAAACCTCCTTGGAGACAAGGATTCTGAAGCTTCGTCTGATACACTTGGGGCATGTTGCAAGGAGGGACCAGTCCTTGAAGAGGGACATCATGCTTGGGAGGGTGGAGGGACAGCACAAGACAGAAAGCCATTCTATGAGATGGATTGATTCAGTGACTGGGGTAGGTGTGTCAGAGACGATAAGGTTGGAGCAGGATGGAGCAGGGCTCAGAGCTGATATACATAGGTTCACTATGAGTTGCAAGTGACTTGAAGGCACATACTGACAGCAGTGTTTCCTTGCTCTGTTCAGATAAGTTTCTTTGGTCTAGGTATAGTTTCACATGAGCAAAATTAAATGTTCTGGGATTCCCATTCTTTTCAACATTAGCCAGAATTTGTTAAATGTCTTAATATAGTCAAAGACTGATACACATTCTTCCAGTACGCTCTGCTTTCACTGGATCTATCTGACATCAGCAATGACATCCCTGGTGTCATGGTCTTTTCTAAACCCAGCTTGAATTATCAGTTCTCTATCAACGTACTGTCTTGGCTGGTTTTGGATGATATTCAGCAATATTTTGCTGTCATGTGATAGTAATGATATTTTTTTATAATTTCCACATTCTGTTGGATCACTTTCTTGGGAATGGGAATAAATATGGATCTCTTCCAGTCAGTTGGCCAAGCAGTAATCTTCCAAATTTCTTGGCATAGACTGGTGAGTCCAGGTCTGCATCTGTTAGTTGAAACATGTCAACTGGTATTCCATTGATTCCTGAGGTCTTGTTGTTCAGTGCTATTGAGTATGACTCACAGCGACCCTATGAACAGCAGATCTGAACCATGCCTATCCTCTGCCTTCCTTACAATCTTTGACACCCGCAAGCCCATTGCTGAAGTCACTTTGTCAATCTGTCTAGTTAAGGGTCTTCCTCTCCTTCACCATCCCTCCACTTTTCCAAGTATGTTGACCCTCTCCAAGGAATAATCTTTCCTAGCATTATGTCCTCAGTATGTGAGATGAAGCTTCATCATCCATGCCTCCAAGGAGCACTCTGGCTGCAATTTCTCCAAGACACATCTGTTCTTTGGGTAATCCATGGGATATGCAGCACTCTTTTCCAAAACCACAATTCAAAGGTTCAATTCTTCTGTCATTCTTAGTCACTGTTTAGCTCTCAGATGCAAAGCAAGATCATGGCCTGGATCAGTTGCACCTTATTCTTCATACTGACACCATTGTTTCTCAATACTTTTGAAAGCTTCCTGACTTCCCTGATGCCTTAGTGGTAATGAATTGTTCTGCAAATACAAAGGTATGCAGGGTTGACTCCACCAGAAGTTTAGAGAAAGATGGGTGCATTCCTCCTCTCCTGCAATTTACTGCCTTTAAAAATCCACTGTAAGGTCTACTATAGGCCAGTTTTGATTGGTTGGTAAGTAACAACAACAACAACTTGAGGCCCTGATGCCATAGTGAGCAACTAATTGAGCTAATGATAAGGTCAGCATTTTAAATCCACAGCCCTGCAGCAGCAGCAGCAACAGCAACAGCAACAGCAAGATGAGCAGTTTCCTCTAAAAACATACAAAGCCTTGGAAAAATGATGGAAGATCTTTATGAGTCAAAGTCTATTTTGAAGCAGTGAGTTCATGTTTTTGGCTTTGCTTCATCTAGGGGCTCTTCCCCTCCTCCTCACATTACAGCACTCAGGGCTCAGTACCCAATCTGGGTATAGGCTATCCCTCTGTGCTTGATTCCTCTTTCACAAAGACAAACTCACTGCAGACCCTTCACAAGATTTTTAGAGGCTGTAAATTGCATGTGAGGAAACTGCCTATCTTTCTCTGGTGGAGCAAGTGGTGGACAGAACCACCAGAAACTACCCCATTTGGGCTAGCAGCTCATTCCCGACCCATCAGGCTATCCAAAGTGGTCCTTCACAGGTATTTGAAGGTTACATCTTTAAAAGATACAATGGTCTAATGCATAATAAAAACACAGTGGTGGTGGTTGTGTACCATGGAGTTGGAACCAACCCATAGCTGACCCTCTGGGCAGGTTTTCAGAGGCAATTAATCACAGGGAAGGAGATTGCCCATCCTTCTCCCACAGCAGCTGGTGGGTTAGAATATTCCTATTATCTTTTTGTTGTTCTATATGTCACTACTTCTGTGTCTCTAATGCTAATTTTTCATGACTGAGTTCAAACATCACCAGGGGTGGGCTGAGGAAGGGTGCATCTACTCTCACCCTAATACAAAGACATGCATATTCCAAGCTGTCTACTGTGTATCTCTGCAGTAAAAGCTTTAAGACCCTGATCACCTTTTACTAGAAAACCCCTCATAACAAGTTTTATGGGCTCTCACGCAAACTTTGCACCCTTCCAAGCAAATTACCTTTGTTGTGACCACCCATGTTGTGTGATGCCACAAAACGCACCCAGAGACAAGCTGGACTCTGGGCGTTTCCCCTAGACCCTCAACACTCCCCCAGCCCCCACTATCACCTCCCCTCCCCCGCAACCCTTTCCCCTTGGAACATTTCCGCCTCCTGGGCTAGGCCAAAAAGAGCGCGGAACGCCGAGAGCTGGGTCGAGGTTTCCCGGCCGGACCGCAAAGTCAAGCGCACGCAGGGTCCCAGCGCACCGCCTCGGTCCCGCGCTCTCGCGACATGGCCTTCAACTTTGGGGCTCCCTCGGGCACTTCGGGCACTGCAGCAGCCACCGCGGCCCCCGCAGGTGAGTAGTCGTCGCAGACCTTCTCTCGAAGACAAGGGGAGGCCTCTGGGCCTTCTGGTGCACTCTCAGTCTGCCCGTCCCCGGCCTGGAAACCTCAGATCTCCCGCCCGCGCGGAGACTTTAGGGACATAGGAAGAGGGCGGGTGGAGGCAGAGCTGGCCAGGACTACTCCAGAGGAAGGCCTGGGGGCCGGAGGGTCAGCTCGCAGCACGCGTGTCGTGCGTGGCTTCCCGCCGGGCCCTGTCCCTCTTACCCGGGACACACGCTCTGCTCCCCCACCTCGGCAACCCAGGGAAGGCTCTCGTGGCGCCCCTCGCCACATTCGGCTAGAATAGCACTGGGAAAACCTAGTCACCCCCACAGTCCTTGGTCCCAGCCCTCGAGTGGCGGGAGCCCTCCTCCTGGCCCCTTGGGGCCCTCTCTCCTGGGCTTGAAGCAGCTCCTCCTTTTCACCGGTCCCTACTCTCTCTGCTTTCTTAACCTGGCTCGAGAAAATAAGTTTTATCTGTGATACCTCCCACCGATTCTTCTACTTCTTACCTTGCTTTCTTTTTTCTCTCTCTGCTTTATTAATTTTTTTTCTTCTTCTTTCTTTGCCTCCACGCCTATCAGGATTTGGTGGGCTTGAGACTGCCAACTCGACCGCGAGTGGGTTTAATTTTGGGGGTTTCGGATTAACTGCTAATCCTGCAGTGAACTTTAATATTGGGAATTTCGGTGTTTCTACCACCTCGGCAACTCCGTTCAATTTTGGTAACAGTCTGGCAAGTGCAGGTAGATACTGTGGGCCGTATGTGTAACGAGTGTTGGAAGCCGGAGTCCAAGAATAAGATTTCCATGGTTCCTAGAGTTTGGAGAAAGAACAACGAGCTGTCTAATAAGGAAAGGAATTTCATTTCCTAACGTTGAATTTAAGATACTTGTTTCCGACTGTCTTAAAAGAGGTGTTATTTCTGATAAGTCTTTCAAATTATAATGTTTCCGTATTACATTTCCACTTTAACAAAATATGGCTGCCAAATGGTATTTGGAATGGAATATTGCTTGAATAGATCTTCCAAATTATTAGCTATAACTTCCAAAATATAAGTATACCAGTAAAACCATTTCCTTAGGGTTCTTGGACTCCTGCAGTCATTTTTCATTTTTTCTTCATCTTTCATTGGGATTTCATCCAGTTGTCCTTGTGTTTCCAAAGAGAAACCGGTCTTATACGAACAGCAATAATGGTCTTTTTTTTTTTTTTCATCTGGAAATAATAATGTATTTCTTTGGCCTTCAGCAGATTAGTAGGATACATACTTTGTGGAATATACACAATTACAGAAAGAATCCTCAATTCTTCGTTGGATTTTTGGGAAATGACCACATGGAGCAATTTAATTTGTTGTCAGATAGCACTGAGTTTTAAAACATAGCATGGACATCATTGCATTCTACCTAAGAAGATTTTGTTATCTATATGGGTTGTTTTAATCAAGTTAAAAATTTTGTACATTTTTGTAAATTTTTAATGAGTATATAATTTTAGGCTCGGTCTGTGTGTGCTTTACACAGTAGAAAACTCTTGGTTTCAGCTGCTCGTATATGAATTTATTGTCTGTGTTCTCTTACATTATGCCACTTAGGCCCATGCCAATTATATGCATCTGGTAAACATTATTCCTTAAGACTTATTTGGCAAGTCTAGAACTTTTGTGACTTAGTGGTAAGGATAAGCCCTGCCAACTCAAAAACAGGCAGTACAAATCTACTGGCTGCTCCAGGGGAGGCAGAAGGGCAGTCTTCTCCCGTGGAATTCACAGCCTCTAAAAATTGCTGGAGGGTCAACTGTGAGTTTTCCAACTTGACAACACAGAACAATTGCGTGTCCTCATACTACTGTACTCTGAACATCACCTCAGCATTGGAATTGAAAGCAGTTTGAAGAATATTTTAAAATCTCAATGATAAAATAATTTACTCTGTTAATGATATATTTGATGTGCTCACATATTACCATTTGAGTATGTTTACTTTTCTTTGCTTAAAATTGGCACTGGGTAACACATTATTTTGTGCTTCTGAATAAAGTCACCCAACTCATAATTCAGCAATAATAAATAAAATTGTTGGTATTTGCTAGATTTCATTGTTCATTTGGTGTTATCATTTTTAAATTTTGGGTTGGGATAATGTAACTGTTTTAACTACTTTTATATGTTACTTAGCTTTGGTGTAGTGGAACATATGATATTTACTAATATTTTTATTGTATAGCCAATTCGGAATATATTTTAGTTATTCAGTAGAAATAAGTAATGAAAAGATTAAGAACAATATTTAGTGCTTTACATGCTTTTTATAAAAATATTTACAGTTTGTAAGTACTGTAGAATATGTAAGTAAAAAAAGTGTTTGGCTGTACTTGCATATAACATAGATGTTCTTGCATGACACAAATTATTAAGTGCTAGCCAAAAAGGTTAGCAGTTCAAACCCAGAAGCACCTTGGAAATAAGGCCTTGCAATCTGTTTCCAAAAGGTCACAGCACACATGAGGTTACTTTGAGTTACCATTGATGGGAAGGCAACTAACAACAGTAGCATGCAATATGCCATATACTCTTGATTCGTTCTCTAAATTAGAATTTATGTGATCTGGTGGTCTCGTTAGGTAAGCAGTTGCTCTATCAATCCAATGGCATGCAGTTCAAATCTACCAGCTGCTTCACAGGAGAAAGATGGGCAGTCTCCTCCAGTACAATTTGTAGCCTCTGAAAATCCACTGGAGGGTCCGCTATGAGTCTGTTCCAACTGGACAGTATAGAATAACAACATCACCAAACGGATTTTTTTCTCTTATATCTTTTGTGTTACTGTGTTGATGTATCTTTGTCTTTTGTACCAGAAATGCATCTGATTCAAGTTAGAATCTTAGAAAACCTACTCCAAACTCAGAAAGCATTAATGGTTTAAACATTTATATTCAAAGTCTTTCTGGCACTTTATTGGAAATAGGTTAAAAAGTGACTGTGGGAGTGGAGTACAGGGGAACCATAAACAATTCTAGATTGTCTAGCATTCCGTTCATATATAGCTGTCAAATTAGATTTGATTAAGTTTAATCTTGTCTCTAGGTTTCTCTAAAAATGAAGTTCGTATGTCTTGTCAGTTGCCAGGGGAGCTTTGATGTGTAGTCCACGGGCAGTTGTACTGCTGACTCAAAGAAGGTGCCTCTCTGGCAGTGTGAATCCATGGAATGGCTCCACAGGAGGAAGATGAACAGTCTCTCTCTCCTCCTGTACAATTTATAGCCTCTGAAAGTGTCATCTATATGTCGGTTATGACTCTACAGCAATGACTGCATTTATGAGTCAGTTGCCAAACTGGTTCTGTGGCCTGTGGAAGCTCTTTGTGCTTTCTCTCTCACTACTTTCCACTTTAGTGGTTTTTCTGTTCTTTACCTTCAAGAAATACTTTCTTTTGGTATAGAGATCTTTATCTTGGTATATTTCCTTTGAAAAATTGCTGAGTTTGGTTGGAGACTAAAAAATACAAAGTAAAATTGACATAAATTAATTCACAAAAACTAAGGATTCCAATTAGCAACACAGGTCAGTTTAATAGGTTAGAATGCACTCTATTTGAAAGACATTTGAATTTAATAGCTAGGGTTTAAAAATCAGGAAATTTCACATAGAGAGCGAGATTTCTTGGGGGTAAAATAGGGATATATAGCACAAATAGCATTCTCTTAAAACAGTTATCTGGAATTTAAGAACTGCCATTTTTTTTAAAGACAAAGATCAGGCTGTTCACTTTAAGTAGCCCCACCACTCATTAAGTATCTCCTCTCTTCCACTCAGTAATGTCCTCAGCTGGAATCTTAGAGTTTACTAAAGATTATGGCTTAACTCTATTCCTGGCTGTAACTGTTAAGTACCTCTTTAGTTGAAAGGTATATATTGCATTGTGATATTTGTCCTTTAAATACTTAGTCTCTTTTTTATTGCAACATAGTGACTTCTTGAAAAGTACTGAGTTGTTTTTTTTTTTTAAAAAAAGATGTTGAAAGTGGAAAAAGAAAATATTAGATGTATATTCTTTGACTTTACATGTAGCAGGGTTTTATAAAATAATTTAAAAGAGAAATTACTTCATATATATAGAAGAGATTTCCTTTCTATTTTATTTATCTCTTTTATCCCCCATTAGGTGGGTTTGGAGGATTTGGGACAACATCTACAGCAGCTGGTTCTGCGTTCAGCTTTTCTGCTCCAGCTAATACAGGCACCACTGGTAAGGGGCCATCCATCCTACGCCATTCTTAGAAGTAAATGAAGTAAAGGTCAGATACTTGTTTTAAATCATGCAATTCTTATTTTTCACTGGAAGGACTCTTTGGCGGTACTCAGAATAAAGGTTTTGGATTTGGAACTGGTTTTGGCACAGCAACTGGATCTAGTACTGGTTTAGGTACTGGTTTGGGAACTGGACTGGGATTTGGAGGATTTAACACACAACAACAGCAACAGCAGCAGCAAACAAGTAAGTATAAGGTTTTAAGTATAAGTAAGTGGGCTTTTTTTGTGCTTTCTTTGTATAAAGAGCTGTTTAAAATAGTTGAGTGGATTATTATTTTTTTAAAGAATTACATACATTTTCTTTTATTCCAGAAGCTGCTCTTTCTATATTCATTGAGAACATTGACTATCATGATTAGAATTATTTGAGGCTCCTGTATTTATTATTATTCTAGTTAAAAAATTTTGTTAAGAATAAAATACAGGAAATTGCAGAAAAGTACAACTTAATTACTTTTTTTAATTAATTGTTTAAAGTGTGATTTTAACAAAACTTAATTACTTAATGAAATGTGAACACCATTTTTACTACTGTCCACGTTAGGAGATGGCACCTAGACAGTGACCTCAAAACTTACGACATTCTCTTCACATTATGAATTTGGGGTCTGCAAATAGGTCAGTCTAATTTCAGTTCATAAATGACTTCAAGGTGAGTAGGAAGAGTTAGATTGTAGAGACAGAAGTAACTGGAACATAAGAGGCATTTTAGTTTCAACCTTTACACAATTCTGAGTCATTGCAGAACTTAAGCTAAGTGGACAGATTTTTTTTTTCCTTAAAGCAAACTTTATCGTGGCTCTGAGGTATGACCTATTGTCTCTTAGAACTGGAGAGTTGGGGATGGTGAAAGGCTCTTGTGATTGGGGTGCTCTCCAACACCCCCATCACATTCAGACAGGGATGGAGAGGGACTGAGGGGCTCCCTGCACCTAAAGCACACCCCAGGGAAGGCCTATCCTATATGGTGGTCACTATTGGCCAACCATTCCCAATGTCTCATTTCCTGGGTCATGAATTTTGTGTTTGGGTTGAATTTTGGCCAGATTTTTTAAAATGTCTCTGGAAACAATAGGTCTATCTATTTTAGATAGACTAGAATGGAGGAAGAGAGCCTGGTTTTGAAGTTGTTGCCATATGTAAGCAAGAAATAGTGAAGACTTGAATTAAGTAGTGACAGGAGTGAGAAGAAAAAAATCATAAAGACAGATTTAAAAATCAGGAAGATAAGAGCAATTTAAACTGTAGAATCAGTAAAACGTAATGCCTAGGTGGCATGACTGAAGGAGTCCACTAACATACAGAATTTCAGTGGAAGATTAGAGGTGGTTCTATTCTGTTCCACGGATAATGAGCTTGGGATTTCCCTTGGGTAAATGTATATGTGAGTATGTGCTCAGGAAAAACAAACAGAAAAATAATCAAAATGTAGGTAGTAGTTGAGACAATAGATTTCAGAGAAATAGAGAAGTGGAGTGGACTAGAACTTTTGAAAGCAGTAACATTTTTAAATAGGTAAGCTGAGGAAGAGTTGCTCATCTCTTGATAGAATTTCTTATGCTCCGAGCCAAGTATTAATCTCAGAATACTGTCATGATTAGGACGACGGTCTTCTCACAGCTCACACACACATCCTTGAAGGGACATGTGCATCTCATACTCAGCTATAATGAACCACTGTTTTATGTCACACCAATTAAATGAAATTTCCTTAATTTGGCTATTTATTTTTCTTTCATCTTTCTTTGTTTTTCATTGCTGAAGTACTTTAAAGCAAATGCCAAACATATTCACCATTATCTTACTGTGCTGCTTTATTAAAATGTGTTCCCAACTGCAACTAATAATGCTTTCATTAGTTATTCCATCAATTCTGTTATTATTTAATACTTAGCCTGTAATTCCTTTTCTCCATATATTTAAAAATGCTTATTTCAGTCGGTTTGTTCAACTCCTAGTTCAAACAAGGTCTATAGATTTGCTTGCACCTTATGCCTCTTCAGTTTCTTTTTAAATAGAGCATTTCCTCTGTTGCTTTGTCTTTCCCCCTTCATGAATTGCTGCAGAAACTGGGTTGGTTTTCTGGTGAAATGTTTCCCTTTATGTTGCTTCCTTGTTGTGTCATTTTCTTTTAATCCGAACTCGCTCAGCATTTCTTAAACTCAAGGAACTGAAGAACAAATTCAAACCTAGAGTTGCTGTAATCAAGGATGCTTTGGGCAGAATATTAAATGATCTAGGAAGTAT